TTTCTATAGTTTTAGTTTTTCAAATGTATTATAATTCACTGAACTATACAAAGATGAACTTAAGTAAAAATATAAATAAATTTTAAAAAAATGAAGTAGATAAATATATACAAATTTGATTACAAGGATATTATAATCCTTGTATAAATTAGGTTTTTATATTAATCAAACAATAATAAAATAAATTTTCATATGAGAAAATTTTTTTGACTGATTAGTCTAAAAATTTAAGTGTAGTTTTTATATACATAAAACTTTATACGTGTATGTTAAATGAATCTTATTTAAGTAACACTTTATGTCACGTTTTTAATTTACACATAAATATATTAAACAACAAGAAAGAATACTCTGCAGGGAATTATTGGTTTATCATAAGCCACTTGATTACTTACAAAATAAATACAATTATTGATTCTTATAGTTTATGTATTAACTATTAACATATATTAATCAGTTATACATTACTTTTTAGAATTATCCCTTATAACTTATAGGTGTTTCAATTTATTATATTATTTTAACTATCAGTCATACCTATAAGTGTCTAACAGTTAAAGAAGACAACACTGATGCAACAAAGATACAAGTTACAAATATATTTTAAGTAGGAAGTTTTATAGCATTATTTTATGATAGTGTTTTTTATTAATAAAGATAGCATCTACTTTATAGTATTATCTTTTTCAACTTAAGTTAAAAATTAGTAATTATAGTAATTATGTATACTTGTTAAATATACTTAATTAAAGATAATAATAATACTTAGTAGTACTTATTAATAAAACTTCCTGAAGTCAAATGAAAAATGCAAGTTGAAATAAAAGTTAGTTAACATGATTTATTTACTATTTTGTGTTCGCTAATACTACAAAAAAAAAACAATAATTGTAAATTAATGTGTTTATTTTAACATTAAATAAAAAAATATAAATCTATACTTTCTCTTTTATACATGAAAAATATATTATTTAAGTTAAAGAATTTAAAAAGGAATAAAAATAGTAATATAAATATGCATACAAATATAAAGTATGAATGCTCATACATAAATATAAAATAGATATATAACACTATATAAACATATTTATAATTTGTTAACAGGTCAACAGAAACATATTGATAATAAAAAAAAACTTATTATATAATAACAATATTTTCCTAAAATACAAATAAATGCTCTGATTAGAATCGTATAACAATAAATTTGATACTAAATAATAATAAAAAGTACAAAATAGGTGATATTTATTTGATATGAATAGAATATAACAAACAATAAAATTTTAAAAATAATAAAAAAATAATACTTTGAAATTTCTTTGAAGATATATAATAGAAGATTAACATGAAATTATCACATTTGGTGTTGTTCCATTACGAGATTCATAAGTAAAATTTATATACTGATCAATAGTATTAGTTGTTTTGTAAGGAATATAAGATTACTTTTTTAAAGGATCAAGACTTTCCAGTGAGAAGTCTTCAGTACTCATTGCTAAACCCCGACTAAAGCCATCCTAGGAATAATAATAATTTATGCTACTTGTAATAATGCATTAATTAAATTACTTACTTTCATTTCTTTGATTCTTAGATCCAACATACCAATATCATTTTCAATTCCATTCTGTCCACTCTGTCCAAAATCACCCATACCAAATGGATCACTAGTTGGACTTTTTAATTGGCCCGAAGGCCTAGGTGTAGCTTTAAATGGACTCAAACCAAATAAGTCGTCAGGATTCTGTGAACGACGGCTTATATCTCTTGATGGTTTAGGAGGAGGCGCCACTAACAAAATTAAGAATATATATATATACACTATATATTATACAGTTTAATTTATTAAGGATATACTTATTTTTTTTTTTTTTTTTTTAAAGGAAAATATTGTTTGAAAAAACTGAAATAATATGCAGTTATATAATATTTGTTTCCAACCCTACGGGAATATAACCCTGAACTTTAAATAAGAACTCCTATTTTTAGTTTGATTATATGATAGAAAAAACGATTTTTAATAATTTAGTTCATATTTTTTTTTTCCAATGAACCACTCTTCTGTTATTGCTTGAAAATTTGTTTAATTTTCTATTGATAATTTGCTTTATAGCATATAGCAATCATCATTTTCACAGGTACAATTCAATATTTTCCATTATACAGAAATCTTATATTTAATTATTTAGATCTATTAATAAATATATACTTAACACAAATTTTTAAAAAATTCCAAGAAAATGAATGTCTTATTCTTAATGTGTATAATACAAATACTTATTTAATTTAGTAATGTTTATTAATGCATACATAATGGAGGAGAAGTTGGAGAACCAGAAAAATTGTTTGCTCTAGGATCAAAATTATTTTCCATTTCATTTAAAAGTAATCCTTCTAGTCGTGTACCAACACTTGGTGTTGCTTTTATTTCATAGGGAGTTTTGCTAAAATAAGAAACTAATTAGAATATGTAAATTTATTTATATGAATTAAAAAATAACCAACCTAAGGTAATCAACATTGTTGTTAATACTTCTAGGAGGGACTGGTGGTACTGGTAAAGATTGTGGAGAAGTACTGCCATTAGTTAAACTGATTAGAGTATCTGGGTTCCCATTACTCAACTCATTTACTTGCAACATGTCACTTATACCATTTTGTCGCATATACTGTTCAACATCAATCTGTTAAACAAAAGACTACATAAAACACATATTTCTGTGATTTTAAAATTTTGCTACATAAAAGGTGATAGCTATTTTAAGTTAATAATAACAACTTATGTAAAAATAAAACTTTCTAATTGGTATATATGCCCGCAGACAGACAAGGGGGGCGTTTACCCCTTACTACTATTTGTTTGATCAATTTTCATAATAGTTGTATAATACAAAATTTTGCAAAAATTTTTTTAATAAAAAGAGAAAAATTTAATTTTACTTAAATTATATTTTGATTGCCAAAATTAAAAGCATTAGCATATTTTTATATAATGAATCCAAGATGGTTTTAATTTATTAACTTTGTATACTTAATTTTAAAAATAATATAAAAAAACACATTTATTTACATTTTTTTTTCTGAGAGGCCCATAAACACCTATTAGAATAACATTTTTTAAAGATTTTAATAAATTTTTTTTCCAGAAAAAAAAATACTTATCACAACATATGTAATTTTTTTTATTTTTTGGGACTCTGCTCCTTTTTGTTGCTCCTATAGCAAGGTTTTCAAAAAAGTGTGGTTTGCTGGTTGAGGACACTAGTCACCCCATTTCAAAGCTGGATCTGTTGAGTATATAGTGAAACCAAATATTTAAAAAATTACCTTGTCCTTTCCTCATGAAAATTTATTGTAAACTCTCTTGTTTATTGGATCAAAAAAAAATAGGAATCACATTTATGTGTAATATTGTAATTAAGGACTATTTAAATTGTAAAGGTAATAGTAATATAGAAGTTAATATAATTTATACATGATTTTAATTTTAAAAATTAATTTTATGATTTTAAAAATTTAAATATAATACAAACTAATTTTAATAATATTAATAACTAAGTTATTTTTCTTTAACATTTTGACATAATTGTTAATATAACTATTATTATTTATTTATTTATCATAATCAAAAATGGATATAAAACCTTTAAAAAATCACATTTACAATTATTAAAAGTATCATAAACATTAAATTTGAACATTTTTTATGAAAAAATCTACATAATTCAGAATACTAATTGCTAAAATTAAGATTTATGTAAATTAAGATGCAGAAATATGTCTTATGGTACAAATGGAAACATGAAATAATTTTATACTTATTGTTTTCAATTACCTAATATAAAATCCAACCATTGAAAATAACAGTGGGCTATTTACATAACTTAAAGTAAATCATAAAAATATCATATCACTTACTTTTTTAAGTTGCCTTAAGTAATACCTAGTTGTGTAGTACTTTCAATAATATGAATTACTAATTAAACTTGTATTTAATTTAAAACAGGTAGATTAAGTGTACTTGTAATAAATAATTTTCATTAAGTTTTATACAGAATAATAATGGAACTAATTATATATTAAAAATTATAAAAATTCATATAATTAATTTAACAGTATTGTTATGAGTTCAAAATAAAATTATTTACCTTCCCACTTAAAGTATCAGAAAGCCGCTGTCGCAAGACGCTATTTTCATTTTCAAGTTCTTTCACACGTTGTTGCAAAACCATAACTTTACGTTGCACTTCCATGTCTAAAAACCGCCTACAGCATAAAATGATATTAATTAAGTATTTTTATAATAAAACATGTAAAACTAATTGATTGGAAGAATTTTAACTATTTTTTATAATACAAAACTAAAATGAAAAATGCAAAACCTGAACTGAATACAATGTTTTTAATTATATATTTAGATTGAAGAGGAAATTATGGTATCAACAATTAAGGCAGTAATAAACATGCTAAACCTCATAATATTTATAAAAATTGTTAGTTAAAAAATTTTTCATGATACAATTGAGTACAACAAATGACATGCATTTGATAAAAAATGCAATGTCTTAAACACATATTTAAATGTGAAATGACTTGGTAGATTAATAAAAAAACAAATAAATTTAACAAAAGTAACTTAGTACTTAAATAAAGTTCAAATATTTTGATTGAATATTAAATTATAGCCAATTTTTATCATTTATAATAATATTATCAAAGACTATACAAAAAACACTTGAGGCATAAAACAGATTGTGCTTCACACTGAACTTTCCAACATTGTTTTTATCAATACCAAAAAAAAAAAAAAAATCTGTTTTTAAGCAAAACACTCATAAGTAATTTTAGGAAAATATTAATTAGTAAAAATTACTAACTTAGTTATTTTATTACTAGCAAAAAATATATTATAATAGATCACGGATGTACCAATAAGACCAGGAAACGTAAGGATATCAAAAATCATTTTTTGAAAAAAATAATATTAAAACATAATGTAATAATACAGAATCAATTTGTATAATTAAAATACATTTATAATAATTTGTCAACATGTATTTATAAAAAATAAATATTACTAATATTATGAGCATTTAAAACTATATACACAGAAAATTAACATAATTTAAAAAAATTTAATGAGAATCTGTATCACATTTTAGTAGTCTTTTAAAACAGCTATTGGTTCTTAAACTTCTTGGTTCAGTAATATCAGTTATTCTAAATTGTGAACATCCAATTAATTCGGAATCAGGTCCTAAAGCTATTGATGGTTCATTGTTTTGTGGTTGATTTTGATTTACCCATCTTTCCAAGATAGATTCACCCTGTTCACCCTTATCTTTATTAGCATCACCTATGTCTAGCTTACAATATTCTGCAACACTTTGTAATAATTCAGGTCTGAAACATTCCCAATCAAATTCCACTCTTGTTTTTTCAGACTGTAGATCGCTTTGAATTTCAATCAATGGCCCATCAATACCAGGATCACTAAAATAATCTGATGATTCATTATCAGAATGATGGTTATATTCGACAATTTCATACTGTTTTTGTTCTATAATATTATAATCTAAAGATGCCCATCGATCATCATTATTAGCGTAACGGTCTAAAACAATTCTACCACCTCTACCATATCTAGGTCTACAAAACCCTAAAGATTTTTGACTTCCATTTTTTTCTATATAAACTGGTTGAAAACCAAATGTTGAATCAAATGGTTCAGGATTATTTATCGGAGCAAGATAAGAACAGTGCTTATTTCTACGAAATGACCATTTACTTCCTCCATCATCAATATTTTGAACTTTATGAGGAGGAGAATATAATTCTTCATCTGAGCTTAAATGACCAACATCATAGGTCTTATGTTTTCTTTTTCTATAATGTCTTTTTTCTCGTTTTGAATCCTGATACTTAGTTCCAGCAGAGTTTTTTTTATCGCCTTGCTTCCACATTGATGTCATATAATGATTAGTAGAAATAGGAGTGAAGGCATGTCTAACTGCTTTAACTGTTTCTATATCTCTGAACAAATGACCATCAAAATCATGTAAATCATATCGTTTCTTAAAAGTATCTAATGTCATTTGTACTAGTTGTTTTTTTAAAATTTCCCGTTGCTGTATCATAGCAATGAGTTCTACTGCTCTTGCCAAATTCCTTCTTAATTTTAACATTTTTTCATAAGATGCTTCATCGTTTTTACGATTTTTTCTAGTTTGTATTTTATCTCGTCGTTTTCTAAAAGCTACATATGAATCATTAGGCGGTGCTCCTGCTATTGGTTCAGTACGAACAGCAGGTGATAATGAGTGGCCTATACGCACTCTTTTCCTTAGCCAATAATCATATATAAGTAAAATAGTATCTTCATCATCTCTAGTCAATGCTTTAGCATCAGCTAAATCTATAATATTAAATGTGCTATGTTTTTCCCACTTATCCACAAGTTCTTCCAATTTATCAGCTGAAATGCTGTTAGTTTTACCAATTGTTTCTAACCATTCTAAATCTTCTGAATCATAATCATATTCAGGCACATCTTGTTCCATAGTAAATGGTGTAATATGTATCAATTGTTTAGGAGGATGACAATTAGGTGGATAGGTTCTGTCATGCCATTTTAAGTCGTCAGCTACTAATTCACTAACTTCAGGTGTAGGTATGACACTACCAGCAACCATAGCTCTTTGTAAATGATGTTCAGACTCTTCTTCTTTCTCCATGCCACTAGGCATTTGGGGAACAGCTCGTTTTAATTCAGCACACTCATGTAGGTCAGGCAAATCATCAGACATATAGATTGGTAGAGGTTTGGAAACATCCAACTGTCGAGCTCTGAAAGTCGGCTTGTTCGTCGGTTTGCTTGGCCACCTACCACAATAACAATCCGACATTACTATTTTCTTAATAAAAAAAATAGAAAATGTAAACTACTTAAGCATTGCAGGGTGATCAATTATCTCAATATTAAATAAGTTTGATATATGATTGATTGATAGAAGTTAATATAAGATTATATACTATTAAAACATTTTTTTGTAGTTAAATAGAATCATAACTTAATAAAATATTCAAAATTTGATCACTCTGTTAAATCTAATCTACAAGTACATTTTTTAACTTTTTGTGATTAAACTAATCAAATTAATAAAATAAGCACGACTTCAGTAGGCTAGACAGAGTTCGGCATTTGAATGTTTTCAAGTTTCAACCACATTTGTTATATATTGGATACAAAACACTATATTATAAAGTAATTATGCATGCATCATTTATTTCAACACATCACAAATAATATAATTTTGAAAATAAGTAGACACAATTTAATAATAAAAACTAAGAAAAAACAATCTATTTTACAATAATTGATCACACTTCATCAAAATATTCAACTTGATTACAATTACAGATAATAATTGAATCAACTGATAGAAATTCCACTAAGTATTCAGGAAAAATTAGCATAAAAATAATTTTTTTTCCAATTCATTAATTGAATACTGTGTGTAAGTCTACACCAAATTAAAATAGACATAATGTTCAACTATAAATATAACAGCATAAAAGAAGTTAAGTTTTCATAAAAAAATCTATTTTGATAACCAAAAACCTACTTGTAAGCTAAATCAAAAGCTTGTCCAATACTAAGAGTGATTTCTTCAGCCAATTTGTCACTCATAAACACAAAGCATGTATGTCTTTCTGACTCATTTGAGTCTTTAACAATAAAACTGAAAAACTGTTTGTCAACTTTATCATCAGCACAGTAAGAAATCCTGTGCAATGGATACTGATGCATTATAACCTAAATGGGAAACAACATATGTATCGGCAAACTTTATTGTTAACCAACAATAATTGTATTGTCTACTTTAGTTTTTGGATCTTGAAGAGCAACACCTTCAACACTAATTGTAAGCTCAACTTTTGGCACTTTTGAGCCTTCAGCTTTGCGAACTTGTTGATTAAACTTTAATTTTCTAATAGATTCTTTAATCACATTAAAACCTTTTGGTTGGTCAACATCAACATTTCCCAAAAACTGTAAAATCCAATTATTATTATGAAAAATGTTATCATTCACAATTATTTAATGAAATACCTTAACAATATAAGCAATATGTCCTTTTTGTAAAGCTTCAGGTGGATGAATCCAATTTCGATTTTCTATAACAAAAATATTAATAAATAGACACACTAAAATTTGAAAATTATACTGAAATTTACCCCCGCTTTTTGCAGATTTGTTGCTGGAGTTTTGAGTCCATTTAAGAAGATTGCCAGTATTCCTCATTTTCATTGGTATAATGTAAATTTCTATAGATGAAATAAATATAAATTAATATTAACACCATTAGATTTTTATAACATTTTACTATACAGTATGTTTTTTCAACATATACTATCTAGGTCAGCGACTATAATTTAATTTAATGTCCAAATTTAAAACATCAAGTATTTTAAGGTTGTTTAAAAGGCAGGAAGTTAATGGTCCATTTTACTATTGTCAATAATATAATAGACATGTTAAATTGAGGTAGTCAAGATACAATACACATACATTTTAATTTAAACATATTACATTTTTATTATATTGTATCATATATTCTGAAAATAATATACCTAGCTAAGTAAACCCTAATAAATAAAAATACTTCTAAAAAAAAAATTATATACATTTAAATAATTTAAATTAACTTTAATTAGGCTATCCTTACAAATAATTACTGATAACTAGCAGACCGATAGTAAAAATAAAAATATTAATACAAATTAACTATGAAGTAGACGTTTAACCGTTTATCTTTAATAATGTATTGACATTTTCAATTATACTTAATGAATATTCATAGGTATTTAAAGTTTTTTTTTTAAAAACCTCGTGACCCGAACGAAAACTGATTAAATTTTTGGAGGCCGCTTCATTCCATATGATTTTTAACATTTTCACAACAAAGCGGTAGTGCAAATTTATGAAATCAAAATTCTAATAAAACAAAAAACTACGAATACTTTTTTAATCTTTTTCAAAGAAAAAATATATAAATTAAAAAATTTTTATTCATTATACATACTATAAGTAAACGAATGTTGAAATATTTGAGAGCTATCCTAAATTCTTAGTTTTGTTTTTTTTTTTTTTTTTTGGGG